GAAGAGACATTCTAAATAAATATCAGTGCTTGGAAACCAGGTAGAATATACAATTTTTAATGTTTCTTTTAATCCTGGCTGTATTATCTTAATCTGGAAATATTAATGTTTTCTTAAGTATATTTCTGAAAAATTCAACATTATTAAGTTAGTGTTAAGTAAGCATTAGATTACCAGGACTTTGACTAAATCAAAATCTCTTTCTCTCCTCCCCTTTGCTCTCTTGGGCACTCTCTAGCACTATCTATAGCTCTTTTCCCTCAAGAAACATTCAGAGATTACTCACTATAATTGTTCAACTGGATTTTACAATTCTATTTCTCAAAGTAGAACAGGATGAAATTTTATATTTATCTTACTTATAAATAGTTTCTATACATCCATATAATAAAATATCATGTGATTATTTTAAAGGAAGAAGTAAATCTTTATTTTATAACATGTAAAGTGTCTATAATATGCTATAAAGGAACAAAGTTCAGGTTAATGTACATGCGGTAAAAATCAGTTTTCTACATATATACATGATGACATAAAAGTCTAGAAAAATATACCTCATATAATTTGTGATAGTCTTTAAGTAGTTAGAATTCTGACTGATTTTTATTTTCTTTGTTATCCCTTTAAAATGTTTTCTTGTAATGAGCAGATATTGAAGTAACTGAAAACATGCATTAAACTAAAATTAGTCTTTTGTGGATGGAATTAAGCCTGGCAGAAATAGTAGTAATAAAACAGATTACTCTGCTAAGTCTCACAAAATTATTATTTTTTCATTACATAGCAATTCACAGAACTTATAAAAATTGAGTGAACATCAAAAGGAAAATCAAAACTCTAGGTTGATTATAATAGATTATCTTTCACTTCCATCCAAAGTCAATTGACAATTGCTACCCAAGAAGGACGATTCTTCCAGCAGGAGTCCAACTTGTTGGTTTTTCTTCGTCTAATTCTGAGGTGTGAACTTGAAAGCAGTTTTCCATTCCATATCAAGGTGTACACCATACCTGTGATGATTTACATATGAAGTGTCCCACAAAAGCTCATGTGGGAAACAATGCAAGAAAGTGTTCAAAAGGAATGACTGGGTTATGATAACCTTAGCCTAATCGTTGCATTGATCCCCTGATAAGGATTAATTGGGTAGGCAGGTAGAGTGTGGCTGGAACAGATGGGTTATTAGGGGGTGAACCTTTGGGATACATATTTTGTCTGCATCTCTCTCTCTCTCTCTCTCTCTCTCTCTCTCTCTCTCTCTCTCTCTCTCTCTCTCTCTTTCTCTCTCTCCTCTGGTTCCTTGTTATGAGCTGCTTTCCTCCTCCACACCCTTCTGCCAGGAGGGTTCTGCTTCATCTTGGTCACAGAGCAAAGGAGCTAGCTACCTGTCTACGGCCTGAAACTTTTAAGCACCAAATAAACTTTTCCTCCTCTAAAATTGTTCTTGTTAGGTCTCTTGGTCACAGTGAAGAAGCTAACTAAAACAATGCCCTACATCCTTGTTCCCATCCTGCCATGACACTTTACCATAATGATTGCCAATCAATGGGCTTTCTTTCTCAACTGCCTAGGGAAACATAAAACTCCTAACAGATCTTCTGCCTTCCTCTATTCTTTTCTTTCATTCAACTTACACATGTTTACCCAGTTCATCCTTTTAAAATGTTTCTTTGTGCTAAAGCAATGTTACGTTAGTTACTCTGATGCTGAAAACTCTATAGTAACTCTCCAACAAGAAACAAAAAACCTCCATAATCTAAGTTTGCCTCTTGGACTTTTTATATACAGCTTCCACTCCACCAGAATAACCTACACACTGAATCAGCCTTGAACTTTAACCCTCCCGAGTGTTGGCTCTTCCAGTTTCCTCTGCCTGTAATGACTTAGCTTGTGGTTTCTACCAGGCTGACTTATATAATAAGGTCAAATTCAGATTTGAAACTTCAGATGTTCTTGGCCCACTCCATCCTTATGATATCTCCTCTTCTGAAGTCTTGTGCCATCTATTCACTTGGGTGGTGCTTTTTGCTACTTGACTTCAGCACATAGATACTCTCCCCCCAGCTCAATGACAAGTGCCTTAGGAGCAAGGGCCGGCCATCTTTTATCATTTGTATGTTGGAATCACCTAGAGCTCTGCCTTTTCAATAATCCCTTAAAAGCTGACACTCAAAAATATTTTTAAAACATCTGAAACCTCGAGTATTGTGCTTTCTAAGCATTCTGGAAAACATGTATAACATTCCATATTTTCATTTTTTTATGTAAGTAGTTAAAGAATAAAATCCAAGCCACGTCAGTAATATCTAAGTTAACCACTATGGAAACTGCAAAAATAAGTTTAACTATCATTCAACTTCTTATTTCTGAAAATGTCCTTTTCTCATTGAGTGTGTTTAGATAGAACATTTAAAAAGTTTGTCCAAAACACACAATCATGTCTTGCCTCTAGCAGAAATGATGTGTGTTCTCGCTTTCCTTTGTAAATAATTGAATTTGCCTCTGAAGTTCAAGAAGTTCAAGATTTCTTTTTGTGTATGAAACTGGCTGCTCTGTTTTCTTTTTATATGCAGTAGACTATAATATAAGGCAGAAGAAATGCTGTACAATTGGGATTTGGTGAGTAGGGAGGATAATAGAAAAGATTGACATGACTTCCATAAAAGAGTTATTTTTAAGTATAGAGAATGCCTGTCCCATGCTGAAAGGGCCCTTAGGAAGTTTTGCCAGGATTAAAAAGCAGTGGGGGCGCTTTCCTTCACCTGGGGTAGTGGGGCTAGTCTGCAGGGCGTTGCTGCCACCTGCTGCATGTAAACAGCTATGGAGGGGCCGCCACATGGGTCTTGCAGCTGTAAAATACCAGTCAATTAAGATTCTGTGGGCATCTGAAATAGTTCTTCTTTCAGAGGCTAGGTGGATCCCAAAGGAAAATTAGCCAAATCTGATGTATTCAGGCTAGAAAAATTTCTAGACATAACAACCAGAATCAGGAGATTGAAAACAGTTAGAGAGAGCAGATTTGCTCAGTAGCTTCTGAAAGAGTATGTCCAGTAACCCTACATTAATGAGAGGCCAGGATTCTATTAAAAGGGAGTCTGTAGCTATGGAAAATAAATGACAATTTCCCTTTTATGAGTATTTAAAAAATTTTTTTGGTCTTTTTTCTTTTGAAGAGGTGCTTCACTGTAATGCAATAAGAGAAAACTTTTAAATACTGCAAAGAAGGTGTCCTGAGAGAATTCATTAAATTTGGATTTTTATTGGGTTTCTAGTTAGGTAAACTCCCGCTTACTGTTGCAAATTGAGTGAGGTAACAGAATCCCTTCTCCAGGTCTTCACATGTTCTAATCTAATAGAAATACAAATTTAAAGATTAGGATCTTCTAGTGCACCTCCTGGCCTGTTTTTGCTGCTATGTTCACTTTGAGTTCCTGTTTTTTTCCAGAGGAAAAAAAGGAAGAGATAATGGCACCCAGAGGAGTTATGTTTTTTTCTTGCTCTTCATTCAAAGACTCTGAACTCTCTAACCCTCCTTGGAAAAAATCACTGTGAGCACAGCCTAACCCAATATCCCCATTGATCAGAATCTTGTAGGAAGATGGGAGGTATTGAGAACACAAGTTAGGGTATCCCTAAAAATAAATAATTCTGTCTCCTGGTTTTTGTGGGTAATATTAGCTGAGTAATAATGAGTAGGACATTTGTCGGGGCAAGTATTGGCAGTGGCAACATTGACAGCTGGGACATCCAAGAAGATTGCCGCCATTGATTTTTGACATGCAAATTCTCTTCTCCTACCGAAAGTCTAACATCTGAATGATCAGGGTGATTCTTCATGTCAGCATCATCCATATTCCCCACAAGCCTTTGTCAAAGATTATATATACACGGTGACAGTCTGGCCAAAACTATCTCCATTTGACCTCTATTTGAGAAACATAATAAGCCATCTAATCTGTTTTAAGTCTTGCTAGGTGGTGCCTATATTCCAGTAATGAGATTGGGGTCACCAAACATTGCACCAATCATATGGCTAGACAGAGATGCATAATTTGTACTGTTTTTCTCTGTTCATTAAACTTACACTGTCCATGTCAGCCCACTCCTTGGGCTTAATGTTGGAAAGTGAAGACAGCCAATTTGATCCCAAGATATTAAACAAATACAACAGTAACTGGCAAGGACTAGCCTTCATGTTCTTTAGTGAATAAGCAAAGAATTTTACCAAGGGGTCACTTCCCTGCAACCCCACTGGGATCCTTTGTAAATGGAAGTAATTGGGGGGATGGAACAGGCCTGGTAGCTGGTTGAAGTGATAGAGTCTCTGCCTGTGGATTCTGATTGTAACAGTCTTGCTCTGTGTGGATTCTAGTTTAGGCACAAATAAGCTCTTCTGCCATCAACAATAAAGGCTTCCAACCATAGTGGTTAGCTTCCCTATGGCACCTGAAGCATATTCCAGAAAAGGGGTGGAAAAGGAGGCCTCACTTCTCTCCTCCCAGGAAATGTGGATTCCCCTGCAAAAAGAGGAAAAGTAAAATTTTTATAGCTGACACAAAACCCTGTTACTTTTCAGATTTTATTAAAATTAAACATGTTAATTCTTTGCACTTTCACCCTGGAGCAATTCTAGAAAGAAAATATACCTTAAGATAAAGCAGAAAACCTATCATGAAAGACACCAAGCTCACATTTTTTTTAAATGGCTTTGTGTTCTTGAAAAGAAATGTATAAAAAGAGCATTGGGAACTGCTCTGCATGGTTTCCTTTGTTTGGATTTTAGAAGCAGCTTGACTGACAGGGATCCTAAAGGAGACAATCTTTGGATATGAAAAGTCTTCTGAAGAAGGTGATTTCAGAGAACAATTTCAGCATTGTTCTGTTGAAGGTTAAACCTGGCCCTGAACCACACTACTTTCCTGTCTACGTTTCATTTCCTGGAGTTTTGCCAAGTGATAAACAGACTCAGGCCTGTGGTAGATTTGGGGTTTATGAGCACGAACAGGGTGGCTGGAGTGTGCTTAGCTAAAGACATCAATTGATTCTGTGATCGTTAAGGAAATGCTGGTGTAAGCTCTTCAGGAGACAATGGAGAAGAAATGGACATACTGTGCTGTCTACTCCATCATCCAGATACAGTTTGTCAGGGGTAAGACTTCTGCTTGTCCTTTCTTGTCAGATCGGCTGCTTTAGGGGCTTCTGTTCATTTAAAATGCCTTGTGACTGTTGCTGAAATTGATCATCAAAGGGCAAATCGTTACTGAAGTTTTCAGTTATGTATTTAAGTGGCAGTTATCAGGGAGATGCAGAGTCTAGAAAGGATTCCTCATGAACACTGAAAACATGAAGGGAACGGGTGGTTTGTGGTGCCACTGCTGTGGCTCAATTTCTCCCATTTCCCTCTTAAGAGGATTGCTGGAGTAATTGGGAAATTGTACTTCTTGGAAACGAAATGCTCTCTAAGTGATAGAACAATGCCAGAAAGCTAAAAAAGAAGAAAAGAGACAAGTCACGAACTGATCCATGCTCAGAGACCTTTGCTCAATTACTTTTTAATCTCTCAAGTACCTCTTTTCTTTTAGGTATAAGACTAAGATCTTTGGAGTTGGACATGGACACATGTTGAATTTTACTGAGTCATATAGATATGGCCCTGGGAAACAAAGCAGAGTCCTTAGGACAGTGACAGCCAGAAACTAACAAGCCAATTCAAAAGTGGAGGAAAGGAAGATTGGTTTTGCATTCCACAATGTGAGGGTATTATAGTTACTCTGAGTGTCTTACAAATTAACTGTGCTTTTTAGGTATAGCTATGAATATTTTAAGAGTTTCTAAATCAAAGGATGCTTTGGAATATAATGCTGCAGATTGGATGGATGCATACTCCTATTAAATGCTATTCATAAGGAGTTACATTGAACAGTACTAATCTCTGTCTACCCAAATTTTTGTATCCACAAAAGTGTAATAATTCCTGTTTGTCAATTATCTTTGAGAGTCTTGTTTCTTCTCAGCTGCTTGTCATCGTTTTATCATTTCCTTTGTGAGCTTCAGTGGGACTTGTCATAATAATATATTATTTCTGTGACAATATACCAAGCTAATTTTAAAACTGAGGCAAATGTTTCTGAAGACAAGTCAAATCAAAGACCCAATATTAATCAATTTTAAGTACCCTGTACCATTTGGTCAGTTTACTGATGGGAGAGAAAATCTTCTTTCATGACTAGCATTTCAGGGAATTGATTAGACATTATGCTGTGTGGAGTCTGAGGTGTCTCCTCCCCATCTCTCTTCAGGAGACCTAACTACATGAAGATGAAGGTCTTTTCCATCCTCATATATGGAAAATCAAATTTCTTAGCCTACCCAGTCAGATTGAATTTGGGAAGCAGTTTGGGGGTTATGAAGGTTATAAGAAGACCAACCGAATTCATGTTCTTTTTCTAGTGTGTGTGGCTTTGAGAAAACCACTTAATCTCTCAGTGCTTCCATTTCCTCCTTAAAAAAGGGGTTAATCATATCACCCTTATAATGTGAAAGCATTAAACAGATTTAGTCCGTAAATGTCTGTTGTAGATGCATATTTTTAAATGCTATACATATATTAGTTATTTTTGCAGTTTTGTAGAGCTTCACCTCTGTGTTATATGTGGCTATAACCACAAAAGGTCAATTTTAATAAATGTAAGAATACTTGTACACTAAATTTGCTGATGCACTTTAGTTTTTAGATAGGCTTAATTTTATCGACAAGTCATCAGAGAACTTAAATTCGTTTTGGGACAAACTAACAAAGAAATAGTCATAAATCAATGGTTTCTTAAGTAAATGACTCTTAATTCGCATTGAGTTCTATGCTTCTCTCTCTCTAGCTGTTTTCTGTCTCTAAGACAGTATTATGGTTTAGATATGAGATGTCCCCTAAAAAGCTGGCGATGCAGAAATGTTCAGAGGTGAAATGATTAGATTATGAGAGCTGTAAGATAATCAGTGGATTCACCCATTTGATGAATTAATAATTTGAATGTTGTTACTGAGTATTGACATGGCATGGCTTGAGGGGGTGGGTCTCTGGGGGAGTGCCCTTGGGAATTATATTTTGACCCTAGCTTCTCTCTCCCTCTCTGCTTTCTGGCTGCCATGAGCTTTCCTTCATGTGCTTCTGCCACGACTTTGGCTTCGCCTAGAGCCCAAAGCAATGGAGTCAGTTGACCATGGACAGATGCTCTGAAACCATGAGCCAAAATAAACTTTAACTCCTCTAGGTTACTCTTGTCCAGAATTTTGATCACATTGATGAAAAACTAACACACACAGTTAGCCAGGGAGAAAATTCCTGAATTATTGCCCAACCTTACTGAAGTTGCTGGGGTTTTAATTAAGAGTCACTCCATGTGAATCATGCAAACTGATGGCTCATGTCTTCTTTTCAGGAGTATGGGAAAAGGGACTTAATGCAGGAGAAGATGTTTATGCTGTTCCTGGCTCTGATGTCAACATGACTTGCCAAATACAGCTGAAAGGCTTGTTGGTACAGACACAGTGGTCAAAGGTCAGCGATCAGATGGACCTCATTGCCCTTCATCATCCCCAATATGGCATCCACTATCCCCACAAGCATTCCTGCAAGTCAGTAGTGGATTTCAGACAAATTCCGGAGAACATAACGATATGGACTCTGCTCTTAAGAAATGTATCTTCCTCACTCAGTGGAAAGTATGAGTGTAGCTTTACTCTCTTTCCAGAAGGCATTTGGACTAAAACCTATAACCTTCTCATTCAGGCACCTGGTAAGTGTAACTGGTAGAGGGAAGGAAGCTTATGCTTATATTCAGCTCGCGTTCATTCAACAAACAGGCATTGTGTACCCAACCACATGCTAGGCATAGTGCTGAGTGTGCAAACGTTGAGCATAAAGAGGTACTGGCTGGCAAGGAAGACAGAAATGGATCAAATAATTCCATAAATGAAGGTAAAATTGCAACAGCGATGTGTTAATAATAAGAGCTGCAACAGTTCTTTGGAAGAGTCTGTGATAGAGGCCAGGGAATTTGCCCCTGAGCTGAAGTCTGAAGAAGGAGTAGGCATTAACAGTTTAAGAAGGGCAAGAGTTATGAGTGATCCTGAGAAAGGAAACAACTGTGTGAAGGGCTTAGTATTGTTGGAGGACATGGTACAATGCCGGAGAGACTACAGTGCAGAGATTAATGGATGAGGCTGAAGATAATGTAAATACCAGATCATGTTGGACTTTGTTAGCCATGTTCAAGGTTTTGTTCATGGAAGTACTTTGAAGTATTAATGAAAGGGTGGTATGAATTTATGGCTTGATTGTATTTGTATTATCAAAAGATGATGCTAGCTTCGGTATGAGAATGATATAAAAGGGGACAAAAGTGAAAAAATGGGAACAAGTTAGGAGACCGTCCTAGTCTCAGATAGTGGTTGTTGGTAGATATAAATAAAATTACACATTTTATGTATTGGGCATAGAACAGATATGACTAGGTCATAGAGTGGATAAAAGACAAAGGCAACATGAGTAGCATGCATACCCACACGGTTGGGCCAGTCACTGGGATGGAAGACAAAGAAAGTAGACTCAGTTTAGAAGAGAATTTGTAAAAATGACTTTTGATATATTTACTATCGGACAGTCATAGGGCCTAAGGATGCTACTGGACCTAAAGCATTCATTCACATCATACATGCTTCAGGGGTCTGCATTTGGAAATGGAAATCCTAGGTTTAAGTTCTACCTCCTTTCTGGCTAGAAATGAATTTGACTGAGGGTCTGTCATGTAGATTTTCTGAGCCTATTTGGAAAATTATGATAACACCTTCCCTAAATTACCTAGTCCTAAAATAAATGATTTCCATTTCTACTAATGGAAAAGAATGAAAATAAAAGCCAACAAATGGAAAATGTCCTGGAAATGTAAGGCTTTAAACTCGGGAATAAAATAACCTGGTAATATAAGAAAAAATATCTATAAAATTAACTCATGCAGACCATGCTGAAGGAGGCATGGGGCTTTCCAGCCAGGACAAGTAACTGTTAAGGCTCTATCATCTCCTCTCTGTCCCTTGTCTCTTAGCTGCTCCAAGACCATGATATTGAAAGAGATCACCTGTAGGCCAGGCTTCCACTAACTACTGCCTTACAATGCCCTGTTCTCTTGCTGTTTTCTGAGAGAAAAAAAAACAAAGCAAAACCTCAGTTTAATTAGGACCCAGGTGGGTGGTTGAGTGGGGTTGAAATAGAGAAAAACAGAAGTCCTGTACAGATCAACATTTATCTACACACACATTGAAGTCAGGAGACTATATTTGAACATTGGCTGTGTCACTTACTATTCAGATCATCATTGCCAAGTTATTTCATGTCTCTCAGTTTTTTGTTTTCTTACATCACAAGTACAGGCAATTATAGTTCCTCATTCATGGATACCATTGTTTTAAGATTAAGTAAAATAATCTATGAAAAGATTTTATCACAGTTGCTGCCTAGAAGTGAGAGTTTGGTAAATGGTAGATTTTATTAAGAGAAATAATAATTCTGAGTGAATTTTTTTTCTTAATTCTAATTAGAATGGAGCCTTCTTCTCATTTTATACTGGTCTACTTGGATTCCAATAGGACATTCATCACACATTAGCAAGAGTACACATTGACCTTGGCTTCGGACTTGGACTGTGCATCTTTTGCCTATCCCAGTAGACTATACTATTGCATATTTGAGTTCCTGATCTGTACTCCTTTGAGAAATAGTAACAAGGATAGGTGTACTCTATATAAAATAGGATATGGGATAACCTAAGTGAAGACAGCAATGAGGAAAAGGTAGTATCCAGAAAGGAAGGAGGTATTGCCTTTAAGGAAAGCATATTTTTAAATATAAAGGGCAACCCAGAGAGTTAAACTTAGAGCTACCAAAGATTGCAAGTCATTGGAGAGTCAGAGCTGTATCTACACACTCTGTGATTGGAAAATTTCCAATCTTACTGTAACTTTGCTGTTGATCCACTGGATTAAATGAAAAGCAGTGGCCTCAGTGTTGCAGAAATGATTCTGATATGGTGTATTTGGGTACCAAAAATTAAAAATAGAAAAAAAATCAAACTATAAGGGGGAAAAAAAAAAAAAAACTTTCACCATAGAGCGACAAGCTTCATATGGAGCTATCCTTAAAAAGGCACCTAACACAGGAGGCAGTCGCCACCCATTTGCCATCATCCTCCCCCTTTATTCTTTTATGTTCTCCTTCCTCTCCTCCTCTCACTTGTACCATTTTCTTCCTAATCTCCTCTGAGATATGCATGTCTATAAGCTAGTTGGGAAAGCAGGGTGCTCATGAAGTGCAAACTCTTTTGAAGTGCATAAACAAATGCAAATTGAAGTGGTGTAGAAGAATCTAGATATGAAAATGTTGAGGCACCAGAGGTGATTGGATTAATTACCTCTTCCTATTTCCTTCCTCCCCTCATCTGAGTCATCCTTCCTTGTCTGCTCACAAAGCTGTGTGCACCTACATCCAGTTCTCATGTCCCCTGAAGGGTTAGCTGGGAAGGGCTTCCCTTCTCTTTTCACAATATTTTTTCCCTATGTGTGCCTCAGTTGGCTGAGACTACAAATGGGTATGGAAATAAACAGTGTGGCCTTTGTTTTTTTTTTTTTTTTCATTTTCATTTGACAGGGTTTCTTCCTAGGTTAGAAGTTTTGAGTTATTCCAAGAGACACAGTACTCTGAGTTAAGTCTTGGATAGTTGTAATCGCCATTTCCTGAATTTGAATGCTATTGGATCCTAGAGTACTACAGAATGTAAGATTTTGATGCTTTTGTGGTTTGGATGTGGAATGTCCACAGAAGTTTATGTGTTGAAATCATGCTTCCCAATGCAGCAAAATCCAGACATGGGGCTTTTAGGCAATGATGGATCACCAGGACTCTGACCTCACCAGTGGATTAATCCAGTTGATGGATTAAGCAATTGATAGCTGGATGGACTACTAGGTGGTTGGATCTAGTTAGAGGAAATAGGTTACTGGGGGTGAACTCTTAAAGGATTTTTCTTCACCCAGCACCTTCCCCTTTCCCCTCCCCCCTTCCTCCCTCCTCTCTGCTGCGTAGTCCTCTGGTCATAGTCATCTTCGTCATTGTCTCCTCCTCCTCCTCCTCCTCCTCCTCCTCCTCCTTCTTCTTCTTCTTCTCTCTCTCTCTCTCTCTCTCTCTCTCTCTCTCTCTCTCTCTCTCTTTCTACTTCTCTCTCCCCTTCCAGGATGCCATGAGTTGAGCCGCCTTCTTCCACCATAATATTTCTGCCTCAGAACTGGCCGACCTTGGTTAAATCCCCTGAAACTATGAGCCCACATAAATCTTTCCCCCTCAAAGTTGTTCCTGTCAGTATTTTGGTCACAGTTGCAAAAATCTAACACAGAAATATTTGAAAATGTGTAGTAATTAGGTGAATTATAAGAATAAAAAGCGACTCTAATTTACATAATTATGATGAAATATTTTAGGGATTGTTAATGCTGTTATTGGAAGCAGTAGCATTAGCAAAAGAACTAGGATGACCCTGTCTTTAAGAATCACAAAGTCCAATAGGAAAAGAAAGACATCAATCAAATAAGTGAACAAATGTCAAATTGCAACAGTGAGGAGTATTCTCATAGTGAGGATGCAGGCGGTGTATGAGAGGGTATAACAGAAGATCAGGAAGATTTCCTGGAGAAAATGGCTAACCAGGTGAAGGTGGAGAACACAGAACTTTATGGTAGTAAACAGAATAGTCTGTGCAAAGACTGTGGTAGTAAGGGGTTATGTCAGCTGTGGGGGATTTAAAAAAAAAAAATATGGCTGGAGCAAAGGGAATGGTGGGGGAGGCAACTGAACATGAAACTGGAGAGCCTGATTGGTCCAGGTGAGGATATTTGTCTTTATTCCAAGAAAAGTGGGAACTAATTGAAAGGCTATTGTTTTATTTAATTTCTTTTTTTCCTTGAAATTTGATAATGTGTATTTGTAGTCAAATACACAAAAGAGTGTATTTATGACCAAATGAAAAGACAATAGCAGAAATCTCCAGGAAGAATGCTGCTAACATTGAGTACAGTGGCAATGAGACAGATGGAGAGGAATGTCCTTATTAAGAATATGTTTAGAAGATTCACCCTACAGGATTTGGTGGTGAATTGCATATATGGAATGAGAAATAAAAAGAAGAGGCAAGGATTCACAATGAGCGAATTGGTCATTGCATTAGGGAATGCTGATATATATATACTCAGATTGTGTCAAGATTAATTTTGAGTTTAAATTTGTACATGTTGAACTAGGTGTGAAGTTGAGGTACAGGTGATGGCAGGTAAGCAGCTGGATATACATCTTGTGATCTGGCAGAGAGGCTTAGGTTGAAGGCACAAGTGGTGAGTCATCTGAGTATGAATGTTAACTAATGTTCTGACAGAGAAAGAAATCATCTGGGAAGAGAAAACTCAAGTAAAAAAAGCAATGTGGGATTTCAACAGTCCATGGTAATAAGTGGAAAAAGGTGAGTCTTCAAATGCTGGAGAAGAATAACTAGGAAGAAGGAATAAAATCAGAGAATCGGGTCTCAGAAACCTAGGAAGGTAATTGCACAAAAGCAGTAGCTATCGTCTCTAGTGTTTCTGAGAAGATAAATGGACATTAGACTGTATTTAGGATCATGAAAGGTATTAATCACCTAATAGGAACTGTGATGGGTGGCATTATGGAACAGAAAGAATTCAGACTGGAGGGAGAAGA